CCTCCTCTTGAAGACCTCCAAGTTAGGGGATAATATCACCTCTCTTGGAAACCCATTCCAGATTCTGGCCACCCTTACTGTAAAAAATGTCTTCCTAATGTCTAACCTAAATCTACTCTCCACTAGTTTGTACCCATTATTCCTAGTTACTCCCTGGGGTGCTCTGGTAAACAGCGCATCCCCGATTCCCTGCTGTCCTCCCCTGATAAACTTATAGGCGGCTACAAGGTCACCCCTCAGCCATCTTTTGTAAAGGCTGAAGAGATCCAGACCCCTCAACCTCCCCTCATAGGGTTTTTTGCAGAGACCACTAATGATGCGAGATGTGGTGGGATAGCTTGCATAACTGGAGCATGGTCATGGATGGGTACAAACTGTTCAGGCAGGACAGGCAGAGGAGAAAAGGAGGAGGGGTCGCACTTTATGTAAAAGAGCTGTATGATTGCTCAGAGCTCCAGTATGAAGCTGGAGATAGGCCTGCTGACAGTCTCTGTGTCGGGGTCAGAGCAACAAGGGTGATATCGTGATGAGTGTCTGCCATAGACCACCAGACCAGAGAAGTGGTGGATGAGGCTTTCTTCAAACAGCCAGTGGAAGTTTCCAGATCACAGGCCCTTGTTCAAGTGGGGAACTTAATTCACCCTGACATCTGCTGGGAAGGCAATACAGCAGTGTGCAAGCAATCCAGGAAGTTTTGGAGAGTGTTGGGGACAACTTCCTGGTGCAAGTGCTGGAGTGGCCAACTAGGGGCCATGCTCCTCTCGACCTGCTGCTCACAAACAGGGAAGAATTGGTGGGGGATGTAGTAGTGGATGGCACCTTGGGCAGCAGTGATGAGATGAGAGTTCAGGATCCTGAGGAAAGGAAGCAGAGAGCAACAGAATAAGGACCCTGAACTTCAGAAAAGCAGACTTTGACTCAGGGAACTCATGAGCAGAATCTCCTGGGAAGCCAGATGGAGGGGGAGAGGAGTCCAGGAGAGTATGGATTTCTTTAAAGAACGTGTACTGAGAGTGCAGGAACAAACCATCCCAAAGTGCAAGAAAACTAGCAAGTATAGCAAAATAATGGCATGGCTTACCAGGGAACTCTTTAGTAAACTAAAACACAAAAAGGAAGCTTATAAAGGTGGAAACTTGGACAAATAACTAGGGAAGAATATAAGAGCATTGCTCGGGCATGCAGGGATGAAGCCAGGAAGGCCAAAGCACAACTGGAGTTGCAGCTGGCAAGGGATGTGAAGGGGAACAAGAAGAGTTTCTACAAGTATGCCAGTAGCAAGAGGAGGATCAGGGAAAGTGGGGGCCCTTACTGAATGGGGGAGGCAACCTTGTGACGGTGCAGAAAGGGCTGAAATGCTCAATGCTTATTTTTGCTTTGGTCTTCACAGGCAAGGTCAGCTCCCATACTGCACTGGGCAGAACAGTTTGGGGAGGAGATGAGCAGCCAACAGCGGTGAAAGAACAGGTGAGGGACTATCTAGAAAAGCTGGGCATGTAGTAGATCATGGAGTAGATCCTCATGGAATCCATTTTTAAGCACTTAGAAGAGAAAAAGGGCATTAGGAACAGTCAGCATGGATTCACCAGGGGCAAGTCATGCCTGACCAAACTGACTGCCTTCTATAGCATTGTTTCATAGTTTCTAGGGTCGGAAGGGACCTGAACAGATCATCGAGTCGGACCCCTGCCATGGCAGGAAAGAGTACTAGGGTCAAACGACCCCAGCAAGCTGTTCATCCAGCCTCCTCTTAAAACCCCCCAGGATAGAAGCCAGCACCACTTCTCTTGGAAGTTGGTTCCAGATCCTAGCCGCCCTGACCGTGAAGTAGCATCTCCTGATAACTAGCCTAAATCTACCCTCTACCAGCTTGTGACCGTTATTCCTGGTCACTCCTGGTAGTGCTCGGGGGAACAGGGACTCCCCCAATGCCTGCTGCCCCCTTGATTATGTGAGTGTCCCTCCTCTGGACCCTCTCCATGTTGTCCACATCCCTCCTGAAGTGCGGTGCCCAGAACTGGACTCAGTACTCCAGCTGCGGCCTGACCAGTGTTGCATAGAGGGGGAGGATCAACTCCTTGGACCTGCTTGAGATGCATCTGTGGATGCATGACAAGCTACGGTTGGCCTTACTGACTGCATCCCCACACTGCCAGCCCGTGTTCATCTTGGCATCAGTGATGATTCCAAGATCCTTTTCTGCCTCTGCACTGACGAGAAAGGAGTTTCCCAACCTGTAGGTATGGTGCCGGTTGTTCCTCCCCAGGTGCATCACTTTGCATTTGTCGGTGTTGAATCCCATCCTATTCTCTTCTGCCCACTCCTGTAACCTGTCAAGGTCTGATTGTAGCCTATACCCTCCCTTCTAGTGTGCCCACATCCCCCCACATCTTAGTGTCATCTGTGAATTTGAACAGGGTGCTTTTTACCCCTTTGTCCAAGTCACTGATGAAGATGGTGAACAGTGCAGGCCCGAGGACCGAGCCCTGGGGGACCCCACTTCCCACATCCCTCCAGGTCAAAAATGACCCATCCACCACCACTCTCTG